CCCCAAAACCCCAAAACCCCAAAACCCCATAAGCCAGTATTTCAGTTAAATTTTGAAATAATGAAATTAAGATTAATATCAAATTTTTCACATATTGTAGTGACTGTTTTCAAGGTATTCATTTTTAAGATTTTCGATTGATTGGCCTAAATAGTTTTCTAAACTTTATTATTGTTCCAGCTATTTTAGTCCATCCAAATCTTTGAACACTAAATTCATACTCGATGACAATGATTCACCCTCTCTCATAAATTCCAAACTAAGAAGAGGCTACAAATTATTTTAAGTTCGATTGGTATCTAATGGATTATCATTTGAATTTATGTCTTCCAAAACAAGTTCTTCGTGTACCATTTAATCTGTTTAAATTGGAGTCTCCTCTTCAGCAATTAATTGCAATAAGATGTTATTAGAAGTCTCTTCCTCTAAAAGATGAGTGGATTTCGAGTGGTTAGCCCTTAATTTTTTGTAGTGATTTTCGTTTTTAATTTAAGAGAATTTCTTCCTACCACTCAATAGGGTTTAACTCTTTTTAATAACATGAAATAGAGAATCATATGCTAAAGAATTTCCATTCTCTTTAATGCTAGAATCAAATAATTCAGTTTTATAATCTGGGTATATTTTGGCTGAATATTATCTCTCAAGACCTGAGTTCGTAGCAGTAGGCCTATCATAATATCTGGTATATTGCATAATGTCATTTTCCATTTCCAGAAAGTCTAAATCTTCTGCTGAATACCTTTAGGGTAATGTATTCACATCTTTAGGTTTGTAAATTCGCATGTTACAATTTGCTTTCTTAGTATAGTTTTCTATATCAGAAGTTGTTGATATCATTTTTCCTTTGTCATCATCCTTTTAACTATCTGTGAACATAGACGAAAAGGTATTATCATAGTAATCAAAAACTTATGATTCTTAGTTATTTTCTGTGAATAAAATTCTCTGATTGGCAGATTCTCTGATGTTTAAGCTTTATTCAAGCATTTTCTTCAATTATTATTTTCTTCTAGTTTTTTTATGATGTCTAAAGGCTGATTCTTGTGATTTTATCATCAATAAACCTTCTTTATCCTGCAATTGAGTGCTAAACTTTCTATTTTATTTCTTAAATAAAGTAGTTATTATATTTTCTTCAGTCAATTTATTTTTATTTGGCCTATGGATTCTTTTTTTATCATGATGATCATTATTGGAAATCTAAGATTATTATTCTTCATAAACTCCCACTACTTTCAATAATTTTTCTTTGCTGAAACCATTTAGTAGTTTTTCTAGATTCTTTTAATTTAAAAGGAGCTCTCCATTGTCGCACATATCCATGAGTTATTTCATATGATCTTAGTACTTTTCTCTCAAAATTTCATTTTCCTCTTTTATTCTATTAATCTCCATAATTGCGTCATACTTCTATTAATTATTGCACAAGAACAGGAAAATATAAACTTTGGAAAATTTTTTCATTAACATGTGCTGAATTTCAATGATCATCTTATAAGTCCAGAATGTAAAGAATGTCAAGTTACTAAATAATATTACTAAGAACAGAATAATTTTAGTATCCTCAGTTAAATAGACTATAAATTCATTCAAAAGTAATTATTTTTACCTTGAGAGTCCGATTAACTTTAATTACTTTGTATATCTGTTTGATCAACTGAAACAATAAAAAATACTCCACAAAAAATTGTCAAAAGTGATGTTATCAATGATAAAGTTTCGAGCTCATTCAAAGTTTATGTCTAGAAAGGTTGTTTAGTCAAATTGATAGCCATGAATATGATCAGCATCATCAGAACTAGCATTGCCTAGAAATATTAAAATTTCCTAATTATAATCTTACTTGAGTGATAACTCCATATTATACAAGAAAAATCTAAATAAAGATGAGAAAGATCTTCCTGTAAGTAATAACTATTTCCCAGTAGTAAAATCTTCTTTTAAAGCCTCTGTAAAGGAAGCCATATTTTTATCTTGTAACCAAAGAATCTAGAGATTTATGATCTCTTAACAGAAGAATAAAGCCAAATAAGGGGATACCAAGGCCCCATACTATTAAACTTGGCAATCCGATTCCTAATGCCCATATTATATGTTCTTCTACATAACATAATATCTAAAGGTCATTCTTAACTCGCTTTTCTCCATCAATATCAATACAACTAATTTAATATTTAAAAGGACTATTAATCTTACTTGAAAAGATTAAAAACATATTTAACAATATTTGGATGGACCAAAAATAGCAGGATAACCACAGTTGATATGGCTTTAGTAACTCTTATTGACTTTTGATTTTTCTTATTGTATAAAATGAACCAAAATGAGGATGATATAAGTACTAAGAAAATAGGAAGTGACCCAAATAAAGCAAGCTTTATATAAAATATTCTTACACCCAGTTCCTTTCCAATTTTTTAATCTTCAATTCCTTAGACACTATCGAATCCTTGATCATTGTTAAAAAAGCAGTCAATTGAAAATATCTGGTTTGATGCTTCACCAATTGTTTGACTAGTTTTGAAAAAGTCTAAAACTATCTATGGCCATTTGAAATCAAATGAAGCTGTGAGAACAATCAATTGAATATGATTCAGTATGATCTTTTAAAAAACACTTGTTGTATTTTTAACATTTGCTGCACCATTTAATGTGGATCTTATCATGAATATGATTACTACTATTGCTACCAAGATTATGGCAATTATTCTAAATAGATTCTACCCATATTAAGGGCATTTCCCACATTCAAATGTGCCTGTTCTTGAATAACCTACATTGCAGTCAGCGCATAATATGCCTCTATACCCTTATAAGCAAGAGCCTTAAGGATTATTTTAAGGTGGGATCATCCCTCTATTAAATATCATGTATAAAATAATTACAAGCAAGAGCCTTTGCTAAAGCATTGAATAAATGTTGATGAAGTATTACTACCTCTCCAGTAACCTTTCTAAGGCCCAATGTTAGATCCTCCATTACAAATAGCTTTTGAACTTGGACAGGTGCTGCATTGTCCTGGTTCTGTCATTTTCACTAGTGAGTATGATTTACCTGCTGGACAAGGGCTACATCTATATAGCATTAAATAAAATAAAGTTACGATCCATCTTGAGCTAACATCTCACCTGGAATGCATTCTCTTAGATTAACAAATAGTTAGAAATCAATATTAGTCTGATTTGTAGAGTCAGATTGCAAAATTTAAGAATTAGCTGGTTTATTTAGATCTATTCCTTCAGATACTATTGAGAATTTATATGACTCTCCAGGTGCAGCGATGAGTGATATATCATCCAAAATATAGAGACCATTTTTTGAGTAGTAAGTGCTAGTTCCAATGATTGACCTAAAGTTTTAAAATGCTATAATATGAAGATTTACGCTTGATATTTGAGGGCGTTTGAGCCATTACTAAGAGTAGATTTTATTGATATATCTAATTTTTTACTATTCTATGTTCCTACAACTTAACCCATTTAGTCTACTAATGCAAGGTACATTATTGGCAATTTGTCTCCACTTCTTTGATTATTTTACTCAGACGAAGTTTGAAGAGTAAGCATTCTACTCTATGAATCTTATTCTTTACTTTTAAGCCATCTTTAGTCATCTTATTCGGGATTTGATCGTTTGATCTGCTAATTGTATTATTCTATGGTTAGTTTAATTAGTTTTTAAGGGTAACTTGCAATGTCATCAGCATAAATTAAAGCTGTATTATCTTTGAATATGTAGGAAGCTCCATCTACTAAAGTTGGCTTTACATCATTCCAGTATATTGCTCCACCAGAGCTGTTGGCTTAGTTTTATCTGAATACATTGGCTCCCCCAAATTCATACTTGCAGTTATAAGGGTCTTAGCAGTCCATATATACTCCTCCTCCTTTATTCTCAGCAGCATTTTTAATGAACTGATTATCTTGAATTAGAACTTTATGCAAATTATGAAGATATATCGCTCCACCCTCAGTTAATGAAAGGGAGTTCTTAATAGAATTATTGTGGATCTATTGTAATTTTTAAAATTTTAGGTTTTACTATAGTTGAGTAAGCCATATTATCTGGATACTTATTTTTCCTCAAATTAGATTGCTCCAAATAAATGGATCCACCTTTGGTCGATTTAGAATCGATTATTTGAGCATTTTACAAATAGAAAATTCCACAATCTGTGCACATTATCGAACCTCCCTGTTCATTGACATTTTAAGCCTTCAATGTTCCTAAAATGCATTAAAATTAAACCAATATTTTACTTTTTATTGTTAATCCATCTGAATAAAAATCTACAGTGTTTAGGTGGATAGAACTTATTGAAATTTCATTCAAAATGTAAGAGTTGTTTATTGATATTTGTTAGATTGACTCAGAAGCAAATATATCACCTGCATCTTCAGCTAAATTTTGCTCGAATGTTGTGTTATATACATCTAGTCTTTTAAAATTAGCGGCATAAATAGCTCCACCACTAAATAAGGCAACATTTTATCTGAAATAAGAATCCTTGATCGTCATTTCAGAATCTGGTGATACATATTAAAATTAATAATTTACCTCCAGATAAATAAATAGATCCACCATAGGTACCAGAACCATACATGAATTAAGAATTAATTACTGTAATGTTGCTATTCATTATTCCATTAATGAATGTGCCTTTGTTATTTGTTTGTCTAGCCATAATTTTCTATCTTGAGATAGATCTGTTAGGTATTATAAATTGAAATGTAATTTACTTCGACAGATCAATAAAAGTAGAGTTCTCGATGGTAAGATTTGAATATCCAACAAAAAGTCCTTTAGAATTGACTTAAGCTACATTCTTTTCAAATAGTGAGT